CCCTGTGAATTACAGCCCAGCTAACGCCTACTGTTAGTGTGTTAGTTCCACAGAGCAATTTGAGTTTCTGTTAGAACAGAACATGCTACCTGTGAGGCCTCTAGCCTCAGGACAGTAAGGTGAGGGAAATCACAGTAAAATGTCTTAGACAGATGGGCAAGTTGGCACTTTCAGGATTGCTCCTCTTGTCTAAGTGCTTAAAAAAAAAAAACATACGTCACCAAGGTGTCCCCGTGTTCATTCGAGGCAAGGGAGAAATGTGGGCTCAATTATTTAGTCTACTCCTGCAAAGGCCCAGTGTCCCCCAACATAAATTGGAACAGCCTGCTCACTGGCAGATGAGCTAATCTCAGGATTTACTGGTTTAAACACATTAAGCCAAAAACCACTTTAATTTGCCACAGGCAAATTTAATATGCCACAAACACAAATTTAATATGCCACTTACATTTCAAGCCATGAGTTTAGTACAGAAGTTTTTTAAAAAATTAGATTGTTACAATGTAGACAGCTCTCGCTATAGATGCACCCCAGCCTGTCTGCAGAGCTCAGGGGACAACTGGACACAGTCTCCTTCTACCCTGTAGTTGGATCAAACCCAGGGGCTCAGGCTTGCGACTAGCCTTTACACAGAGCCATGACACTGCCCCCATAGCAGGATTCTTAGATACCACACAAACACTTTCCCCACAGCCTTCCTCCAACACCAGGGTCAGGGCTCCCCAAAGCAGGCTTCCAGTGATGCAATGAGTGAAAGAGAGTGCACACAGTCCAACGAGTAGCTTCCAATAGTGTTGTTCTGAGAACACTAAAACCTATGAACTTCACCTTGAACAACCTGCCTGGTTGTTGAGTCTGGAGACTCCAGAACGTCACCGATTGCTTCCTTGACGCAAGCCTGGATCACAACAGTAAGGTTCGGTTTGGTTTTGTTCTTTATAACAAACTATCTGGAAATGCGGTCCATCCATAGTCTTCCCAGCATATTTGCTATGCCCCTATCAAACCGGCCATTTCTAGTGTGTGTGTGTGTGTGTGGAATCCTATTTGACATGCATCCCTCCATCTTCGTCAGAGAACAGCGGGGCACTTACCAGGTTCAGAGTGCACTGGGGTGTGTCCGTTTGGCATGCCATTTGCCACATCTGTGTCCTCCAGGGACAGGACAGCCGGAGGCTGGAACTCAAGCTCCTCTTGGATCTTCTCTAAACCACTCGTCATCTGGGAGGAGCTCATGTGGTTAAAATGCCACTTTGTTTTCTGGATGACACTGTCTGCAGAAAGAGAGAGGCCAAGTTGAGCATCATCAGAATGGCGCGGATGGGAAGCCAAGCGCCCGTTGCTAAGCAACCAGTAAGTCAGATTCCGCACAGAGTCAGTTATCGGAGGTCAGGTGACTGCTATGCATTAATGCTAGTTTGATCCACTTCTTCAAAGAATAATAATTAAAGTATGGATGCAGAGAAGCCATCAACCCTCGGGGATCCCAGAGTTGGCAGGAGGTGCTAGGCCATCCCCTTCAGGCTGTCTTTAAGCTTGGAAACCTGGAATGGCTATTCCTGACAGTCTCGTATCAAAAGCTTTTAAAAAAAAAATCACAAATAAATGCGACTCTGTTGTAAAAGCTGGGAAGGCGTATCTGGAAGGCAAGCTGGTTGTGTCTGCCAGCTTGACGTGAGCTAGAGTCATCTGGGAAGAAGGAACTTTACAGCTGACAAATGCTCTTATGAGACTGGCTGCTAGACAAACCAACGTGGCATTTTCTTACGTTATGATTGATGTGGAGGGCACAGCCCACTGTGCCCAGTGCCACCCCTGAGGAGGTAGTCCAGGGCCTCTAAGAAAGCAGACTGAACAAGCCGTGGAGAGGAAGCCCACCCTCCACAGCCTCTGCCTCAGTGCCTGCCTTGAGTTCCTGCCCTGACTTCCCTTCATGGCTGGCTATGTATGAGCCAAATAACCCTCTTCTTCTCACGTGGCCTTTGGTCATGGTGTTTACCGTAGGGACAGAAAACAAACCAGGACAGAAGTGTTGGCTTTGATTCTTTTAGTTATATTACTATTAATCCACCTCAACAAATCATAACACGATTTTGTTTGTTTGTTTTAAATCAAAGGCTCATACAGTCCAGGCTGGCCTCAAACTTGCTATGTAGCCAATGATGGCCTTGAACTCCTGATGTGCCGACTGCTGGGATTCCGATGCACTCCCACGCCTGGCCTAACAGGCTCTGCGGTGGAAGCTCAGTCATGCACTTCAACATCACGGTTCCCTGACCCTGAGGAGCTACGGTGGTGATCGGGAAGGTCTCCTGTCAGACCCAGTTTTGCAGGGAAGGCCCATACAGAGGAGAGAAGGGCAAAAGAAGGCAGCTTCATTCTTCCACAACTCAACCGGGGACCACGGGAGCCACAGCTGTGGCCTGCCTGCAGACAGCCAGCACCGTCCAGACAGGAAGAAGAGGGGCCCAGGGCAGCAGCTTCACAAAAGTCTCCCAGAACACCCCAGGTCTGCCACAGTGAGGCCCCACACCTGGGCATTCCTGCTCCTGAAAGTGACAGCCCCAGGTCGGAGGCCACTGAGGGATGGTGAAGGCTCTGGCAGTCGTAGCCAGATGGCTTAAGTGCTGGCCTCACACCTGACTGTCTGTGCCAAACACTTCCAGATCTCTGTTCTAGTCCATCCCAAATACCAAATGTCTACTGCCCACCTCTCTTGCTTCCTAGAGCAGTGTTCCCAACCCTCCCAACACTGTGGCCCTATAACACAGTTCCTCGTGTTATGGTGGCCCACCCAACCCCAGCCATAAAATTATTTTTTTTGCCACTTCATAAGTGTACCCTTGCTACTGTTGTGAATTGTAATGCAAATATCTGATATATTTGATGGTCTTAGGCAACCCCTTTAAAAGGATTGTTCAAACCCCCATCCCTTCCCTCCACAAAGGGTTGCCACCCCACAGTTTGCCCTAGAGCTCAAAATGAACCAGTCCTGGCCAAAATTGGGCATGCCCCATGACTATTGGGCTGTGTTCTGTAGACTGGGGATCACAAAGAACCTTCTGGCTGAGCCTGGAACAAGAATGTCTTCTTCCAAAGCAGTCTTTGTCAGTCTGCTTGAGGGAAGGATCGAATTTTTCTCATTTCCAAACTGTTACAGCTGTGATGCTTTGACAAAATGGAGGAAAACCAACCAAACAAGCAAACTCCTTCAGAAACTGTAGTCACCACAGAAGCTGGAAGCTTCTCTGTCTTCCAGGCTCACTCCATTCCCTCAGAGGCTGGGCCCCAGAACTGCCATCAACAGCACTTTCTCCAAGTGTAAGATAGTCAATAGTTCAGGCTGCTGGGCCATCCTGTCTTGGGCATCACAATCCTGATTCATATATACAACTCTGGTCTATACAGGCTGTGGTTTGCTGAGCCCAGCTTCAGGGGCCTGTGGTGAAGAGCCTACACAGGCCTCACCCTTCCACCACCTCCCCACAGGCTCTGAAGACACAGAAAGCCACTGTGGTAAGGCTTCATGGCCACTCTCATGAAACCAATGGCATGTGGTTGCACCTCCCGCGGTTTTCCTGGACGGTTAAGGCCAAACCTAAACTTCAATTTCTATGCACATAACACCATATGAGAGAAGAAAAACATGAAAGACAGATACAAACCAAACTCAAGAAAGGCGTAGGGTCGGGAGGCCAGGCCAATGCAGGTGGTGTTGTAGGAAGCCATGAAGTCCCACCACAGAGACTCTAGGAAACAGAACGCCATGGCTGCTGGGCACTGGCGCGAGCAGATGGCCAAGCAGGCCACGTCCCCCGATGATGAAAAACTGCAAGAGAAGGAGATGTCTGAACTGCTAGGATACACATTGAGCAAGCCCCCTCATCTTCCTTGTTGTTGTCTGTCTTTTTATTTTCTTTGCTTTAAAGACAGGATCTCTCTATTGTGGGTCAGGCTGGCGTCAAACTACATAGCCCAGGCTGGCCCTTTAACGGATGCCCTTCCTGCCTCAGCCTCCTAGGATTATAGGCATAGACTTGGTGCGTACATATACACACAGGCAAAGCACTCATACACATAAAATAAAAAAATAAATCTAACTTAATTGTTTTTCAAGAAAAGACTAAGGCTGTCAAGGTGGCTGAGTAAGTAGTGGAGCTTGCGGCAAAGGCTGATGACCCAAGTTACAGCTCCAGAATCCACATTAAAGATGTGCTGGCATGCACCTGTGGTCCAAGCACTCCAGGAGCAAGATGGGAGATAGAGACAGAATTGCTTAGAAGGCTGAAGGCAAGCTAGCCCATAATATGCAACACAGTAGAAACAAGAGATGCCTGACCTCGCAAGGTGAGAGGACAGTACCAGGTCCCAAAGGCTGAGATCAGACTTCCCCGTGTATGCCATGCATGTGACTGACCACGCTTATGTGTACCTGTGTGCACACACATTTATATGTGCACGTGTGTGCATGTACACCACACATTTATATGTATACATGCATGTGCACCACACATTTATGTGTGCACAAGTCACTGGGGCCCACCACTGGCACCATAAAAACAAGCAAGACAAGAAGAAGCATCAGAGTAGAACATTTTACCCTCCTGTTTTTTAGATTTGATTGTGATACCATAGAGTTTTTTCAGGAAAAGAATGTCCTGCACAGACCAGCTTCTCAGAGCTCCGTGTAGAGGGTGCTCAGAGGATGTGGAGAAGGAGAAAGAAGAGGAAGAGGAGAAGAAGGAGGAGGAGGAAGAAGAAGAGGAAAAGGAAAAAGAGGAGGCGGTGGCAGCAACTCAGAGAAGTAGTCTGCTTTGTGGGTGACAGCTCAGGACTCCAGCCACCACCCTGCCCGCCTGTCTGCCAGCCCCCTTCAGCCTTCCACCCAGCATGGTTGACACCTTCCATTTCTTTTATGATTCGGAGACCGAGTGGCCCTAAAATGCCTAAAAAGACCCCAACTTCTCTCATCAGATTTAAGAATTATGAAAAGGAAACAAGAGGGACTTGGTGCACAAAGACACATGTAAAATCTGACGTGTAAAGTCTGCAGCAAGCCTCTCTGCTATTTAAGCCTGCCTTGTCCCCGAGGGTTCCTTGCCTTGAGTCTCAACATTAAGAAAGGACCAGACATGTGAGCAGCGCAACTGGGGACCAACTGGCTGCCTTCAAATCCTGGCTCCGAGCCTGGGCTAAGTCGCTTGACCTCAATTCCTCTCAGTAAAACACGTGACCCTGCCTGACCTGCCTGACCCTGCCAAGTGCCCCACAGGCCGCTGTAAGCACAGGAAAGTCGTTAGGGCACGAAACATCCGCAGCGTCTAGCAGCAGTGTCACCGGTACCCACCCTACAGTGGGGCTTCCCCTGTTGTACTAACACAAGAATCTACATCTCACTTTAAGTCTCTGAAATGAGAGACCCACCCTCACCCATTTTCATTCCCTTTTTCCTTGCAGGAGGACTGGAAGTTCAAGGTCACCCTCAGCTGCAATCTAAGCACAGGGCTGAGCGAAATCCTGTGTCTGGGCTCTTCTACTCTCCTCTTCTCTTACTGGCATTTTATTGTAGCTTCCTATCTTCTTCCTTCTACTGTACCTAAGTGGAAAATAAAATGGCTAAAGGGTGCCCACTGGGCAGGGGCAAAGGCGTGGGTGCTCTCTGACAGCAGAGGAATGACCAGTGCCGCATCGGGGCTCTGAAGATGGACACCACTCCTTCCCTAGACTGTTGCAAGTGTACACAGCCTCTGACTGCTGAGACCAAACCTTCCTTTACCCACGCTGCCTTTAGCAGTGCCACCTTGACATTCGGGTCCTGGATAAGTGTTTACTTACTAGATACGGAAGTCACAACTTTCTGCACAGCCTCGGCCTGGATGCTGAGCCAGCCTCTGGGCTAAGATCTTGAGCTGCCTCCTGCATTCCAGAAACCCCTGGGCGTGGTAAAAGTCAGTGGAAGCTGAGAGGGGCAGTCCATCCCTCACCCGTACGATGCTGGCGAAAAGGATCATGGACATGGTCCGAGAGAGAAGTCATGAGGACACCTGAGGAAAGGAAGGAGCCTTTGTCAGTGAGGCCAGGAAACGCAAACTGTTTCTCCTATGTCACGTCCAATGTTTTCCCTCCCTCATTTGTAACCTTTACTGAAGACTTCCCTTCCCAGGACTAAGCAAACTGGGACGAGGGACAAAGGGATGGATAAAGAGGTGGAGGTAGCGGGGCTGAGCAGGGGCAGCAGCGGCGGCAGCGGCAGCGGTGGCGGCGGCGGCAGGTTATAGGGTTGAGGACCCTAAAGGGACAGGACATGCCTGACCCAGTGTCAGCGTGTGTGTGTGTCAGGTTACCAGGGAAGAAGGTGCTAAGAAGGTCAATTGCCACACAAGAAAATGAAGGGGCCTGCCGGAGAATGGGCACTGCAGTGGTGGTGGCAGGGAGAGGCAGAAGGCAGCTGCAGAGCTGACAGAACACATCCTTCAGAATTTCTGTTCTCTGATACAAAGCCAGTCAGTCTTCGAGACGATGACTGAGCCCTTACAGATGGCTGAGGGGAGACAGTTAGCAAATCACATCAGGGTAAGATATTAAACATTTGGTCACGCTGTGTGAACACATTAAGAAACAAAAGGAAACAGATCTGGGCCGTGTACCTGTCAGCACAGAAAGAAACCCATGTTAGCACGGCCACAGAGCTGGCAGGGGTTGGGCTACCCGCAGCCTCCACTGCACATCTGGATAGGACAGGGCCTACACATCTGTGTATGAGTCAGCCCGGTAAGGGCTGGCCTCTGAGAATTAGCTCGGGGGCCAAAACAGCTCTGGCTGGTCTTTCCATGCTACACACCCCTCATTGTGATCCTGTCTTTTGGGCCCTCCGTTTAGTGGGATTCATGAATACACTACACAGGTCAGGAAGACAGCCTTACTCCAACACCACTCCTGGCTTCTAGTCTCCTGTGCCCTTCTCAGGGGTAAGTAAACACACACATCTACACACACACACACACCTACACACACCTACACACATACACCTACACACATATATCCACACACACACAGCTATGCACATACACACATACACCTACACCCACACACACCTACACACACATATACTTACACACATCTTCGAATACACCTACACAGTATCTACCCACATATCTATGCATATATGCCTACACACACACACCTACATACACACACTTACACACACACCTACACACACTATGCACATAATATACCTATGCACACACATACCTACACACATACACCTACACACACACACACACACACACACAGCAAGAGAGATCTCAATCCCTTCATCTCAAACCATTCCAGGCTTACCAGACTGGACTGACTCCTGCCCTCTGTCAGCCAGCCACTTCTTCTCATGCACTTCCACTAACTAGAGTCAGCTGTTAAGAACAAAAGCCAGCCTTCAAATTCCCTGCAGTACCTGCAAGGCCAGGCCAGCCACCAGAGGGCACTGTAGGCCTCACAGCCTTGCATGGCCAGTGGCCACCAGAGGGCACTGATGGCCAATGCTGAGACTGACTCCAGAAAAGAGAAGTACACTGAGCACTGAGGTCAACCAAACTGGTTTTTAAAAACATTTTTGAAATGTTTTTAAACTGAGACAGAGGAAGAACACAAGATCAGTTTGAAATCTGAACAACCCTGGGGTTCAAAACACACACTCCTAACAAGGCCTCACATGGTTAGTATGGCCTCACTTGGCACAAGGAAAGAAAAATTAAAAAGTCAATGACTCGAAGCTACAGCAGAAGGGTTAAGATAGGCCCACACACCCGACGTACAATACCCACCACAGTCAGTTGCCCACTAAGACTGCAAGGAGGAAATGGGTTTGCAGGTGACAGCAATCCTAAGAACCAGTCTGGCCACTATCAGAAGGACCCAGAAGACCTCGACTTCACCCACAAAGCTTTTACTGACCAAACCTGCTTTTCCTCAATACGGTAATTAAAAGTTCTAGCCGCTTCCAGCTCTGTCCCGCTGTATGAGAGCTGCCAAGACAGAAACCTTTAAATCCTTCAAGCTATCTCTGATGACTGAATAAAGGTGGCATTATGGATATGTCACCTGTGTCTGAGGGACTGAGACAGCGGCTGCCACTCAGCAAGGGCTGAGGGACTTACACCCTGCTGAGGAAGAATTTTAAAAATGGAGACAAAACTTTTACACACTATTTTCCTTTAGTAACATGCACGAGTTAGAACGTCCACCTATGCACAAAGCCCCCAGTGCCAACAACCCGCACAGTGAGCAAACAGCTGCAGTTCCAAAGGATGGAGGAAGAGTTTATAAGAGAGGGAAGCTGATCTTTGTGAGAATTGATGTTTGTAAGCTTGAGGCCAGGGGCTGCCATACTGCGAACTACGCTCTAAGGAGAGGGCGTGCCTACAGCCCTGTTGTCCCTGTTCTTCAGAGGCTGAGTGGAGAGGGTCCTGAGTTCAAAGCCAGCTGGGGCTACAGAGTGAGGCCCTAACTCCAAAACTCAGAATAGAAAAGGGGAGAGAACAGGAGAGATGTAGCCACTCTGCTCTGAAGTAGGCTTTTCCAGGCCCTACTAAGTGCAGATAAAACCCTGGAAATCAACTACAGAACGATCACAAAGAGATTCCAAGAGGAAGCAGGGTAGGTGAATGGTAGGATCACAGGGCCCTTCTGTGACATGCATCTCAGACCTAGTGTTGGAAGAACTGGCACCTCAAAGCAGCCAATAGAGAGATGGCGCATCTCCCACCACTAAATAAAACCTGCTAACTTTACTCAGAATCGGGGTGATGGATGCATCCTTGAAAACCAGAAAAGCTTCACATTAAAAACCAGGCTGGAGGCTGGAGAGATGGTTCTGCAGTTAAGAACACTGGTCCCTCTTCCAGAAGACCCAGGTTCAATTCCCAGCACCCACATGGTGCTCACAGCCATCTGTAACTCCTGTCCCATGTAGTCTAAGCCCTCTTCTGGCTTTTCCAGGTTCTGCCCTCATGTGCACATACTTACAAAGACACACACACATAGACACATAAGTAAAAATAAAATAAATCTAAAATAAGAAGAAAGAGGGCCACATGGTGGTGGTACACTTGGGAGGTAGACGCAGGAGGGTCTTGGTGAGTTAGAGGCCAGCCTGGTCTACAAAGTGAGTTCCAGAACAACCATGGCAACACAGAGAAACCCTGTCGTAAAACAAACAAACAAACAAACAAACAAACAAACAAAACAAACCCAAAACCAAAAACATACACACACATACACACACACACTCTGACACAAAATAAAAGTGGTCACACACTCTGACACAAAATAATAGTGGTGCTTGCCAGGCAGTGGTGGCACATGTCTTTAATCCCAGCACTTGGGAGGCAGAGGCAGGCGGATTTCTGAGTTCGAGAGTTCGAGGCTAGCCTGGTCTACAGAGTGAGTCCAGGACAGCCAGGGCTACACAGAGAAACCCTGTCAAAAAAAAAAAAAAAAAAAAAAAAAAAAAAACAGAAAAAAAAATGGGGCTACATACTGTATGAATTCCTCTACATAACGTTTTCAAGATCAGCCTAAGCTACGCAGCAAGACCTTGTCACAAAAATAAAGAGCTGGGGATGCAGGTCAGATCTAGATGCACAAGGCCTTGGATTCAATTCTTAGTACCACAAAATAAATAAGTAAAAGCAGGTGAAGGGCCCGTGGTTTCTCTCTGTGTGTTATCTTTGCAACTTCCTGTATTTTAGAAACTGAAAGAAAAAAATTAGCATCAGGACTCCATGGTGGGCTTCTTTCTACAAGAGTCATATGTAAATATGATTACCAACTCTCCACTGCCAGCTGTGATCCTGATGGCTGTGTGAGCCTAGAGAGACCTTTATCCCTGGCGGCTCCTCACCGAGAGAGCCTTGTTAAACTGGAAGATACTATGACAACATCCAGGGTTCATTACACAAAGCTACCTCAGAGACAGCTGGCATTCAATTTAAAACAGGAGTGCAAACCTGGGCTAACCGATGCCTGCCATCCTCCTGCCGAAGTGGAGGAGGGGCTACAAGTTCAAGGCTGGTCTGGAACAAAGCCCTGACATATCACACAGAATAAAGGTGCCTGCTGTCCACCTGGCCACCTAAAGTACACGCAACTAAAAATAAACATTTTAGCTTGGTAGCAGTGATGGATGGACCAGAGCAGTTCCAGGGCACCAAGGGCTACACAGAGAAACACTGTCTCAAAAAATAAAAAATAAAAAGCAAACAAACAAAAAACCCTGCTGAGCAGACAGAAGAGGAACTGGAAGGTATCTTATTTCTGTTCACGGAAACAAGAAATGTATGTGTGCTGTGTCTCTGCCATACTTCTGAACCACACTTTGAAGATTCTACACAATGACTGGAGAGAGGAAGGTTTCTGTGGCAGTGTTCTGTGTAAGCAGAAGCACAGAAGATGACCAAACGCCTGTGTTCATGTTTCTATGACATGGCTTTTTGTTTTGTTCATTGTTTGGGGGTGTTGGTTGGTTGGTTGGTTGGCTGGTTTGTTTGTTTTGCTTTGTTTTGTTGTTTGTTTGAGATAGGGTTTTTAGGTGCAATCCTGTCTGTCCTGGAACTCACTCTGTAGACGAGGCTGGCCTTGAACTTGCAGATATCCTCCTGCCTCAAACTCACAAGTGCTGGGATTAATGGTGTGTGCCACCACTGCCTAGCATATATACAGATCATAATCCACTTCCTACACTTCCTAATTCTCTTTACCAGGTTTGCAAATGTCCTGCTCTGTATACATCACAGACTGTCTTGCTCTGTCATACATACATCACAGGATGTCCTGCTCTGTCACACATACATCACAGACTGTCCTGCTCTGTCACACATACATCACAGACTGTCCTGCTCTGTC